TTATTGGTATGTATTTTATTATTTTATGATCATCTTACTATACAAATAAGAATAAATTTGAAATTCGTCTTATAATATCATCTAATTTACAACTACAACAAAAAATAATATATTGCATAATTTCTAATGTAAATAAATTAATATATAAAATATAAGATTTGATTATCATTGTAATTAGTATAATTATTAGTTACAATATTATAATAAATGTGATTAAAAAACAAGCGTATGACCCTCACAAATAAATAAATCCAATGTATAATAATTAGTGTTGATATAAATATAGAATTTAGTAACATAAACTCCCAATCTAATTTGAATAAAATTAGGAAAATAAATAAAGAAATTCATATTTGCAATGTGCGATAATTGATAAAGGAACCTGAAATAAATTCTAAAGCGGTATAAGCTAGTGTTATTTTTCGCTCTTAAAATATCTCATATACGAGTATTTTTTTTAATGATCAAAAAACCAATATTAGTATTTCATTGTTGTTTCTTTTAATATCCTATGAGCTAGTAAAATAATTTCATATAATTATGTTAATTTTTGTAAATTATTATATGGAATTTTATTTTTGTAATTATATACAATTAAAGATTAATTATATGTACTTTATGTTTGTATATTATAAAAATAAATATAAATATAATTAATCTTAAAAATAACTATAGACCATTTCATTTGTCCTTATATGAGAGAGAGAGATTTATTTATAGAACCCACCTATCCCTACCTAATACAAACACCATATATAATTTGGAACAAATTGTCACTATTGTTTAAAATAAAGTGCACGCTTTTGCAGCAACGTTGGGCTATAGAAATAGCCCACATCGAAGTGATGTGGGACAAAGAAAGCGTATATAAGCAATTGCAAAGCATTTACAAACAGCGAGTAGGTTGATGCTAGGGCCACGTGCATGTCAAGGACGCGTAATATGTGTGATGCTACGGCTGACGTTAGCAATCACGGTTCTTGATGTCCATTCGGGGGATGGTTAATGTTTTTATATTAATAAAATGGTACGGATGGTTTGATCCCGTTTTTCATTTGAACCGGAACGATGTGGCCGATACCGATCCGGATCGTCCGATTCCAGATCGGATCGACGATTTTTAAACCACTGGTACTAACTCATAGAATATTAGAACAACAAAAAATAATATTAATACTAGTTTATTGACCATTAAAAAAACTACTAGTTTATGGGACATTTTAAAATAAAAAAAATAACACTAGCCCAAACCACTTTAAAATCTATTTTAAAGTTGGTTTGTCAATTATCCCACATTGCAAGTACGATAGTTATATATTTTTCTAATTTTATTATAATATAATAACAAATTTATGTTTCTAAATTCTATACTTTTGTAGATTTATTTATTTGTAAAGGTCATACCTTTGTTTGTTATTAATAATTATACACTGATAACCAAATCTTGTATTTTATTTGTTTATTTATTTATATTATAAATTATATTTTTTTTTTTTATAGCTGTAAATAATTTTTTAAAAAAAATTAGATGATAATATAAGACAAATTTTAAATTTATTCATACAGGAAAAGAACATCTCAATATTCGCATGTTGATGAAAAAAATGAAAGTTCTTAATGTAGTACCCTCATTTCTTATTGGATTCCTAAAAAACAACATTTATAATGATTTTTCATAATTTTTTTGGATTTTTTTTAAGGCTTAATCCGACCGATTCCCAATCCGAAACGCCGGTTCACCGATCTGGATGGTTTTTTGAGGTGCCCGATCAGGGGCACCGATCCGTTTTTTAAACCACTGCCTATACCAGTTTACCGACACAGAACAACAAACTAAGATATTTACTATGAAGCCTATGAACTACATGTCCCACGACGCGTCCTACAACTCATGATCAAAGTCATATATATCTTCCTTCTGAGGGCTCAACTTTACTAATCAAAATCCATTTTCCAAGAAGATATAAATAAAGAGAAGAAATTAGAGTACCCAAATAAAATGGAAAGATAAAAAAAATTAAATTGTATTAAATATTTTTAACAAAATTAAACTAGAGAGAATAACTAGGCGAATCAAATAAAAATTAGAAAAAATTCAAATAGATGTACAACTTAACAACTTTAAAATTAAATAAAAAAGTAAAAATGATAGATTAATATTCCATACAAATTAAATTCTATAAGAAATAATACAAGCTACAAATGTATGAAATCTTAAACTAAAGAACAATACATTAGAAAATAAAATCAATATGTGAAATGAAATATAAATTTAAATGTTTCATGAATATTTTTAGTCTAATTTGTTATAGCATCTACAAATGATGACAAGTGTGGCTTCTAGCTGCTACAAATAATAGTTGAGCTTTTAAACAAGAAATGGTTCAGGTAATATTGTTTGCACTGAATACAGCATAATAAAAAGCTTTTATAAGCTTAAATTACACGATCTTTCCAAACACAAGCACATAGTAACAAAAGAGTTGCACACAAGAATCATAAAAGGGAAGATAAGCAAATCAATCCACATCATCGTTATTAGAGACGGGAGTGGAATCGGGAGGGATCGGTTTGGGAATCACCGAACCGCCCTATAGCAGAAGTTCCCTAGGCTTGGGATCGGCGTTCGTACAATGAACAAGAGAAGGAGCGAGATCCCATATAGATGTATTCGAGGTTCTGACTGGCTAGCATCTAAGCTCCACTATACTCTAAACGAGGTTGTCAACTAGAGCTTGTACGGGTTCCCTTGTTTAAGAGAACGAGATCTGTAGGTTTTTGGAAGCGAGAAACCACGACAATGGATTCGTGGTTTTGACTGGCAAGAACCGAAGCTCCACTATTCATAAAACGAGATAGTCAGGTAGAGCTAATACAAGTTCCCTTGGATAAGGGATCAAGGTTTATGTTTGTCATGGTACAGGGTTCCTCTTGTTCTAATATTTGAGAAAGGTCAAGTATTGGAATCAAGGTCCATGATTGTCCCCAAGGTCCACAACTGTCATTTACCAGGGAAACCCTTATTAAGTGACCCCTACTCTCTACAAGTCGGCTTTTTAAAATTAATTTTTTTTTCAGTGTTCGATTCAAGGGGCCTATATTTTTTTTTGACCTAAGTCGAACTTTTTAGACAAATTAAGAATAATGGTTTGGATTTTAAATTTTTAACATCATAGAACCTATGATTCCTAATTAATGTATCAAAACCTTGGACCATGGTTGATGGGTTCAGGGATCTATTTTCAAATGGAACTGGATTCGTCTGCTTTTTTAAAGTAGATTCCACATATATGAATCCCAAGAATATACTTTACCAAAACCTTGTACCATAGTTGATGGGAGTAGGGATTTATTTCGCAATAGTACTGGAATGCCCTAATGGTTGGATCGTGATCCCTTTTATTTGGGAGCGAGAAACCAAATTTTTTGGAAAGAGATACCAAAATTTTGGGAACGAGATACTAAAATTTTGAGATCGAGATCTCGAGATTTTGGGAGTGAGATTCCAAAAATGGAAATTCGGGATCCCTACGAAATCCCTAGGAGGAACCGTGAAATCGAGGTTCCAGTGCGAGAACGATACCCTCCACCCACAGTTCCCTTAACTATTATCCACATATGCAATCCAGCAGAGCTGATAACATCCCATCGGCATCTAGAACACCTTAACGAGGCCTCTCCATGTATAATGGCCAATTCAGACCAATGGAAATGGTATACAGCAGCATGTTTGCATATTAAATTGGCTTTGCCATGCTTGAGAAGAATCCTAAAGAACTTAACACAAATGAAAAATTGTTATATTGATACTCCAATTGCATGAGAGCTCAAACTCCTGAAAAACCATCTTATGAGATTGTGGACCTTGCATTCAAATACCAATGATGTTTTCCAATCTTGAGTAACACAATTTCCATCATCTTCAGTTCCAAAAAAGCCACAAACGAGTAAAATAATGAGGATAAGCTCCAAACCCATTCTTTTTTCTAGATAACTCGAGAGGTACAACTTCCTAAAAATGCTCTCTCACACCACGCTGGGGTAATAACCTCAACCATAGTTGTTGGGATCGGGAGCGAGGGATCGTGAAATGCTAGAAGATCGCTATGGTAGGGAACACCGTCCGTACAATGCACATGTTAGGGATCAAGATTCCAACCTTTTAGGGATCTTGATCCCGACTTTTTGGGATCCTGATCCCAAAGTTTTGGGGATCGTATTACCAACCTTACAATGTAAGATAATCTAGGATCATGTATAATCTTTAAAGTAGGGATCTTATTACTGAAAGCAAGCAAAAAGTAGTTGTGTTGATAGATGGCTATAAACGAAGAAAATCATCAGTTTGGTTGTTGTCTTGGTCTTTAATGTTGGGATCGAGATCCCTAATAGCAGGAATCGAGATCCCTATCAGTAGGGTTCGAGATCCCAAAACTTAAAAATTGAGATCCCTGAGCGATCCGTTCCAGCAGCGACAGAATCGACATCCTAGAAGGGATCTTCTACCAAAGTAGGAGATCCCAATAACTATGGCCTCAACTATAGTCATTGAGATTCATATTTGAAAGCCACGGTTGGGGACTCCTATTTTTGCAGCCTAATCAGTAACCCAAAACAATTATTAGTCATTTGCACGTATTTATGATTTTAGAAAGTTAATCTCACTTTTTGAAGAACATCAAGAATTGCATATCTTTCTTCTGATCCACAAAAGTCAAAACCTCACGCATAGCAATTGAACCATTATCAAACGTCATGTGTGCTGCCCAATAATTACAAACCAATGTAAGGTTACTAATGCAGTAACCTAAAAGGATGTCCAATTTCAAAAGCTAATCTTCACATGTCTTGATGGAATGGAAGGTGATTGCAAAGAGACAACGATGGCCAAATTAATGAAACCTCCAAACCTCCCAAAGGGCAAAAATAATTATAAACAAAATCATTTTATATCCCAATCTTGCAATGAAAATTGAACGAAATTAAATTAGGAAACTTACTTTTCTCTTACAATTTTCATGACCTTTGCATAATGAGCTACTGCAGCAGGATCATCTGGATCTATGGTGATCTTTTCCTTTCGAAGAACACCGATGGCCGTCTCAAATTTGTTCTTAACCTCGTAAAATATGTTCTTCAACATCTCTTCCATTATAGGAATATAAATATATCAATATTCAGACAATAATTCCTGAATACAATTCAATGTGCAAAAAAAAGTTGTCTACCAAAGGATAAGGACTCTTATAACAGTCGTTTTGCTCTTTTACAGAAAATAAAACCATATACTGCAGTTCAAGTGGCTAAATGGTAAAAATCGCCCCATTGCACCAAAATATATTCTTCTAACAACACCTAATTTCATTAAATAATCTCAAATGTATTACATATCCTAGTAAAGAACAACCCTTTGATGTTTGTCATGAGAAAGTTCCTGCACTTAGTTGAAGTGCAACAGTTTATGACTTCAATGGAGTTTATCAAATTATGGTCATGAACCCCTACCACCACCAACAATTAGGGAAACAATCCCGGCAATGGGATCCACATGAATAGTTAACATTTCTATAAAAAAAAATAGGATCCACATGAATAAGACAGTGATTTCAGAAGAGAGAAATCAATTATATGCATGAGAGGTAAAAATGAGAAAAGGTTAGAAGTTCAGACCAGGTTTACGATAATATGGCTGTTAGACCCCTCCAATAAACATTAGAGTGAACAACGGGACAGGGATAAGACTACAGTTTCAAGCATGTAGCAAAAAAAGAATATTTCTAGGCAGTTTTGCACCTAAGCGAAGAGATGCAAAGCTCTCTAGTAATATTCCCAATATTCAAATCTTAAATGACGTGAAACATCTTGTTATGGACTCCAAGACGACTTTTGACATGATTGATCATGCACAAAGCTTGAAAAGGATTCCCCCAAGAGCTAAGATGAATTAAATCTGTGTGGGACTATTTTCATAACTTACTGTTATAAAGATTCTACGACATGATATAAAATGAATACAGAAGGCTCCCAGATCTAGAAGACATATAGGTCCACTTATAATAGTAACTAACAGATATAAAGCATACAGAAGGCATATTTATGAAGCACGCCTCATAAGATAGAAGGCTTTGCAAAAAACAAATTTTAACAATAATTTCTATTTACATTACCAGATTATTATAACATCACAGAATGTTCTTAGTCTTCATTTTTGCCTAATAATTCTCACTCCTAAGAATTTAATGAATCCATATTCTAAGTATTGAGGATATCTTGACTCACCGTCACCCTTGAGGACTGGGCGAGGAGGAGCTTCGTTTGAAAAATAACGAACAGGAACAGCAGGCACCATTTGAAATAATTTCTGACCTGCACATAACTGGAAAAGCGAAAAAAATATCAATTCAGTTGTAGTCAACAACTGACACTTATAATGAAAATCATGAAGAACATAAGAAATCAGAAAGGAAGATGACTTCTCTTAGGTAATGAACATCGATTTCGTTTATCTAGATCCAATCCAACTCAGAATGGATAAAGTTAGCATAAAGTGTAACAGCGTAGATTTTATTTAGTAGGCAGGTAAACAGTTATACCATCCATTATCATTTCCACAAAATATTATCATTTAAAATATTCAATTGCAAAACCTCCAACTTTGAATACAATGAAATAAAAAGCAACATTTTGACATCAAAAAATAACAGGTCATGAAGATCCTTAAGAATAACTGAAGTCCGCATACCTCGAAATTCAATTTCATTTTTATTTTTACAATGATAAAACGGACGAATACTTTTTCCATTTTAAAAAGAAGAAAGACCGCCATGCCTGAATCGTTGATAAGAATTTGATCATTCCAAAGTTAAGATTGCATCAGGAATGCAGTAAAAGCAATAGACCCTGAATGCAGCTAAAACAAATAATATCAGTGATAAAAACATATCCAATGCATACGATCCTGATAAAATAGCACAAAACCCTAGAAAACAACTGATCATTCAAAACCTTCCGTTGCATAAGAAATGCTCACGAATCCGTCGACCAATCAAGAAACAGACCAAAAACCCAACTCAAATACATAATTTTTTTGCAAAATGAAACTTCTCCGAAGATAATCAATCCTTTTAAAAGCAGTCAAAAGGGGACGCAAGAAAGGATCTTCACTAATCTTGCAGCGCAACCCTAACCCTAAATTCAAAACCTTGTCGAAGTACCTTTCTGGAATGGCACAGGAAACGCGAAGCGTACGCCATGGCCCGATCTCCTTCGACCTTCTTCTCTTTCCTCTTCTCAGTTGATGCTCTCCTCAGTCTGCCCCCCCTATTACCAGGTGAGAGTAATGGAAGGGCACCATTTGTATGGCATAATGACTGAAAACGCCTTACTTCTTTCTAATTTGACAAAGAGGTCCTCCATGCGGACTTTTCCAATGAGCTGGGTATATTGGAATCAAGTTAGCTCAGAGAAGCTCCACCGTTATTTCATGGGTGGGAATGTGATCTGGACGGCCAAATGGTGAATCATGTGAACTAAGAGAATCTCCACCGTTATTTCATGGGTGGGAATGATCTGGACGGCCAAATGGTGCATGAGCCTCCGTTTTTCTGGTGAGTTAAAATAAAGAAGGAAATGTTTTGATAGGGCTGCAGCCCTATCAAAATAAGTAACGCCTCATCTCAAATTCAAAATATAGATCCCATGGAAACACGTTCAACTCGATTATCTCAGCTGAAAAATATTGGGATTTCATTATAACACCCCATCTAGAGCCCCTATTTTGCACAAAAAATAAGTGTTCACATATCGCAAGCTCTATACTATTTTTTGAACTTCAATTTTTTCAATTAGTGATGGAAATAGATTTTAAAGCCATCATGAAAGTTTCCAATGCTTAAAATACTTCGGACGAGGATTTCAAGAGAAGCTTTAGTTTGTTTTCATAAAGCTCAAGGCATATAAAAATTGCATCCAGTAAAGAATCCAACCATACATAAAGGAAAAGTATACAAAAAGACTATTTTTATTATTGATATAAGGAAACCACAATCAATCATGTTCCTTATATTTTAGATTAGGCGGTTACAAGAGTGTCATTAACTAGACTCAAAGTTAAAAAACAAAAAAAAAAAGAGAAATCTCAAACTTCATGACTCACCTCAACCATCCAATTTGTCATCTAATGGCCATGAGTAATTATAACCTCCTTATAACAATGATAAATAGTCTTATAGTATACAAAGAGACCATATATATATATATATATATGATAGGATTGTATATTGTGAGACCATTTATCGTCATTATAAGAAAGTCAAATTTCATCCTAGCGATTGGATGACAATTTAGATGGCTTGGGTTGGCTCACAAAGTGCGAGATTTTTTTCTTTAAACTTAGATTCTAGTCAATAACATTCTTACAATCACTTAATTTGAAATAAGAGGGACAATAGTAACTATAACTTCCTTGTATAAAAATTAGAAAAGCATAGAGACCATTTATGTTTTATACAACAAACTCGTACTCACTCTTGTCCCTCAAATTTCAATTGGTGACCTCCTCAAATTACAAATCAAGAAGTTACAAACCCTTTTAGCGGGAATAGTCTTTTTGTACATAGGGGAGGCTTTAGGATTTACATTCTTACTCTTTTGATCCTTCGACTATCCTCTGTACTCACCTTAACCTTGTGATGCCCAAGTTTGATGAGCTGTCCTTCAAATCTTTTAGTTCTAATTGAGCATTACTTCTCACTGTATTTATCCTATATAATGTTATTTGGGATTGTACACAATGAGACCAATTACTTTTGATGCAAGGTGGTCACAATTACTTACAACCATCCAATATGAAGTTTGATAGTTTGGATATATCATAAAGTTCGAAAAAATTTCTTTTGATGCTTAAGCTCGGTCAATGGAATAATTGCAACCACCCAATTGCACATTCAATGGTCAAGATTAATATCTCACCTTGTACCAAAGGAAAATGTTCTCATTCTATACTTTCCCATGTTATTTTTGTGGATTGGGTTTGTTTTCTCTTCTTAACTTTCGCAGCAACATTGGAGAGAGGTATAAGCACTCACATGGTGTAACTACACTGGTTTCCCATTCCACAAAACTAAATCCACAAACTTTTGAAATTCACCAAAGGAGAAAAAAAGTTGGGAAAGAAGTGAAATATTATTGACTAAAGGAGAAAAAATTGCTTTGTGTGTGCACGTGCATGTGTGTGAGAGAGATCCACATCTGAAATCTGGTAATAATGGAGATCAAATAGGAACTTCATTGTATTCAAATGCATTATACATTGCAATTTTAGCTATAGCAAGATACAATGAGGCATCGGTCATCTGATCATAAACCTGTAAGGTCCTAGAACTCAAGAGAGTCTAGGAATATTTAAATGAAATTAAAGAATGAATCAAACCTAACAATTTTTCTAGTTTCTCATCTGTATATAAAGCCATGAGAACCGATCTTCCTTTTTATTCTGATTCCACTTCTTTTCATGTTTTTTTCCTTCAAATTTTGCATAACTGATCTTCCTTGTCATTCTGATTCCACTTACTTTTCATGTTTTTTTCCTTCAAATTTGCATTAAGAAAAACCATCAAAATATTTTCCTTCTCTCAATGAAAAAGTGGTGAAGAGAAAATTTCCCTATAAATAATAGTACATGAAATTAAGAAAAGCCAACAAAATCTTTTCCTTCTCTCAATGAAAAAGTGGTGAAGAGAAAATTTCCCTGTAAATAATAGTACATGTCTACATGAAAACAATGATGACCATCTGTGAACAAGCTCACCTGCAAAAACAAAAAGCTCTAGGGGCAGTCATGCCTCCAATTGGTTAAAACTCAATTACCAAAAAGACCTAAGAAATTGCAGTTTTCCATTCATCCACAAAGGTTTTGAGAATTTTTCGAAGGATGCAATGGCACAAAATCAAGTTTTCCATTAATCAACACATTAAAAATCGCCACTGCCAGAATCTTTTATGGAAGCAAGTGCTCCACCAAATTGATAGTTTCTCTTAAGCATGGCTCAACTGAGTCACATCTCCGCGGACTCTGGTGAATCTTGTGCCAATTTAAAACACCTGGCCACTTCATCCATTATAGCATATACCCTCTCCATTTCGGGTTGTGATTTATCACCAGCCTCAAACTCATGAACAATGCCATTCAAATCCACTAAGCTACATCCTGGCATTCTTCTCAACCCCCTCTCCTCCATCATCTCCCGCACCTTCGCAACCTCCTCCCATTTCCCGGAAACTGCATACAAGTTCCATAATAACATGTATCGGGCCCCGTTGTATGGCTCCAATTCAACTAGACGCCTAGCTATTTGTTCACCTAAGCTAAGATCTGCAGTAAACCTAGAGAACAATAACAAGTTTCCCCATACCGAAGACTCTGGGCTAGTAGAAGGCATGCTCTTGATGAGCTCCTCCCCCTCCATAACTAAATCTGCATTTCTATAAAGATTGGCCATACACCAATAATGCGCAAAACTAGGCTTTATCCCATGAATTCTATTCATTTGATCAAAGTATCGCCTTCCCTCTAACAGTGCAACCCCTCTAGCACATGCACACAACACACCCACATAGCTTACCTCATCAGGCTCAATAGAATGAAGCTCCATGGAATCAAATAATGCCAAGGCCTCTTTATAGTCGCCACAAATTGCTTGCCCAAAGATCATAGCATTCCATGAAACCAAGTTTCTCTCAGGCATTTCATAGAAAACTCTTTTAGCCGAATCCAGCTTTCCACATTTACAATACATGTCAACCAGAGCAGTTTCAAGAATCACTCCTGAATCCATTGAGCTGCTACGAATTATGTAACAATGCACTGATCGCCCCTCTAAAAGCCTCGCCGACTTAGCACATGCATTCAAAATACTGACCATAGTAGTAATTGTGCCCTTAATTCCCTTCTTTTGCATTTCTCTAAAGAGCTTCAAACCATGGCCTGGAGACCCACTTCGAGCATAACCACCGATCATAACATTCCACGAAATTTGGTTTCTCTCAGGCATCTCATCAAACAATTTTCGCGCATTCATTATATCGCCCAACAAAATATGCCCATTAATCATGGAGTTCCAAGAAACGAAATCTCTCTCCACCATTTCATAAAAAACTTGCCGCGCATAACTTATGAGCTTAAAACAAGCATACATATGAACAAGAGAATTGGCCACAAAGATTACTTGATCAAAACCTCGCTTGACAACTTCAGTATGGCACTTCTCACCTTCATTAATAGCGGTGACTTTCGCACAGGAAGCTACCAATGGAGGGAAGGTGAAGTTATTTGGGTGAACCCCTTTCAGCACCATCTCATGATAAAATGAGATAGCTTGAATTGGGTCTGAGCTTAATGAGAGAGCTTTGATAATGGTATTGTAGGCTCTCAATTCAGGTGAGTTCAATTGCCTGAAGACCATTAAAGCATAGCTTAAACAGCCCGAATCTGAGGTAGCGAGAAATTTTACGAGGTGGGTTGATAAAAGGGGATGGTTTTGAAGGCCATTGGTGATTGTATGGGCCTGTAATTGCTTGAATTCTCTCATGGTTTTGCATGAATCTAAAGAGACAAGAGCCTGCTTAACTACAGAGGATTTACAATTGAGGAAGAGACTGCGGGATTTCGATTTCAGGAGATTCTGCATTATGGCTTTTGCTACTAGCTGTGGGTTTGGCTACTTCGCCATGGAAAATACATTTTCGCATTTTTTATGGCTTCTCTCTTTTGTTTTATTGGCAGTTTCATAAGGGTTTTTGGGCGGTTTTGGGTTTTTACGTCGAGAGTGTTTGAATCAGGATTTGTCGGGGGGGGGGGGGGGGTGGGTTTGCGGTTTTTCTTCAGAGCGTTTGAATTAGGATTTATCGTTAACGGAGATAGGAGCTCGCTGCGTTAAGTGAAAGAAGCAGCATTGGTTTTTATTTTTAATTTTCTTTTTGCAGGAATTTTTTTCTGAGTTCGGTTAATGGGAATGGGAAGCATTACAAAAATGGGTATGTTGCCCTAAAGTCCATGATGTCACAGGATGCTGGCTCTTAATCACACTTTTGAAGATGGATAAATGACTTTGTTTGGTACTTTTTTGTTTTTTAATTGGCCCGAATGGGTAATGTGGAGAAATATTTAAGAATAAATGAAATAAAAATAAAAATAGAGATTTATGAGATGGAGATATAGAGAGACTTTAAAAAATATTAAATAAATTTTAAAAAATATATAATCACAGGTTTTATGGGGAACCAGGTCTAGACTTATTATACAATATTTAAAAATAAATAAAATAAAATAAAAAAATTAAAATGAACCTTTAAAGCACGAAGAAATATAAGAAGCTTTACAAAAAATAAAAAAATATAACCGGGGTTTTAAGGGGGAACCAAGCCAGGATCCATAGCGCCAAGGATTCTGGTTCGGTCTCCAACAATTTCTATCAAAATTGGTAAACTGAATCGAAAATTGCCGATTTTCAAAAAGCTAACAATTTCCTTATACTCGATTGAGAAAAATTGTCTGTTGGGGTCTTTTAAGCTCTCTTGTCCCTCTCTCTCTGAGGGGCAATGCACAAATTGATATCTCCCTCTCACACATACGTACTCATGCCTCTCTCCTTGTTTGAGTTAGGGAAAGGTTTGATATGCGTAAATTGAAATGCCTCTCATCAGTAGATCTTTGAATGGTGAATGCTCCTTAGCATGAAGCAAAACGCTTCTCTCTCTCTCTCTGCAAGGTTATGTGCTATTGTTTCAGTAGTTCACCAACTATAACTCGAATCATCCACGAGATCAACCTTTCAATAATCCAAAGAACATGCATAATGAAAAAAATCGCAACCCAAATGGGGTCGAATAAATAATTACGCCAATAAATCCCAAAGCAAGTAGTCAATTTAGTCTACAGCTGGATATTAACACCAATGGGTGCATTTTCGGGGCCAATATCACGGCATTTATCTAATGAAGAATCCCCTAAACATTCTAGCCTAATCCTTACATGTAAATCTCTCATGAATATAATATTGCCAATATCATTACATGATTCTTGGAATAATTGCATCAACAAATCACCTTGGCACTGGTTTCCACTTTCGCTAGAAATGCTCAGAATCCTTTCAACTTTTCTCAGATTCTGGCCAAGAGAATCACTTGTTTTGTCAAGTTTGAGGTAAAGAACAGCATCAACAACTACCTGCACGTCAGTAACAGTTTCCATTTTGAATACAGATAATGACCAGCTAATTGACTTTTCAACCATATTCCGGTGATCTTCACATATGAACTTGAAATTTTTGGTGTCCTCAAGACTAATATCAATCATTGGCATATTTTTTCTTTGTTTTCATATCACTAATATTCTACGGCACTCCAGATCATCAATACTCATTGATTCATTAAAGAAATTTACAATACCTCAGGTCTGCGCTTGAAGGGTGCACGACAGTTCAGATTGAATCTGGGCCGCGCAAAGGGCCACAAATTCATTTTGTTTTTTTATTTTTATTTTTTGTTATACGAATCATTTTTACATGAAAATTGCGATGCGCATACATCTTATCGGGCGCAAGCAATAAAAATAAAAATTTTCAAATAAAAAAGACCAAAATACTCTTGAATGTTCCAAGGGTATTTTTAGTGTATTTTTATTTGGCTTTCTTTTTATTTTTACTGTATGCACCCTATAATATGCATGTACCAACCAATTTTGATGTCAATTGAATTCATAAATAAAAATAAAATAAAATAAAACCCAAATTCATTTGTAGCCCTCGAATTGGCCCAGATACAATCTGGGCAGTTGAAAGGGTGCCTGTGTACTGTTCAAGCATCCACATGATGCAGATGCTTTAATTTCCAATAGTATAAAGTTGATGAAATTTTTTTACTATTCAAATTCAACCTCAGTTACAAAAGAAAAATGAGGCCTTTCGATAATATTTGAACTAAAATTTTACGCATTGTGAAGACAGATGAGATGGTATTTTATTGTTTTTCTACGCATTCTTCTTTTACAATTGCATCGAAATTAAGGATGCTATCATCAAAGTAAATAAAAAAATATTAAGCATATTATTATCGAAGAAAAGAAAAAATTTGTAGGATGTTATTTCTAAATCTATCTTTTATGAATCAGAGTTCTAGAAAAGGTTTAGGCAGCAAACCATCCCTTGCTTTCTAATGCTGCCTTTACAGTTATTGGGTCCGTGTATTCACAGTTCTTTATCAACTTTTAAGGATTGACGTATTAATTGAGAAAAAGAAACAAGAGTGAGAAGAAAAAGCATACCTCACTGGTGCCCGGACTAATATCAACTGCACATTCTATGTGTGATGCATGGTCTTCACCAAGTTTTTCACTAGAGGCTTCCTCCTCAATGTCCAATTCTGATGCGGGTTCAGGATTTACAAAAGCAAGGTTATCCAATTCATCAAACCACTGCTGTGCAGTACCTACCTGGATGCATACCCAAAATAGTTTTAAATACTCTCACATCTCTCTCTCTCTCTCTCTCTCTCTCTCTCTCTCTCTAAAAGATAAAAGATAGACATTTGAACCAAATATGTACATTACAAACCTCCTCTGTTGGTTTTGAGGTTAAATCTGATTCAGGCACCATAGAAGCAGCACCCCTTGCCTGACACCAGAAAGAACCTCTTTGTATTGGAGCAGCAAGCTTAATACCCACAGAAATGTCCACGTTAATACGTATTTCGCATCTCCCTGCACTGTCCAGTGAAAACTTGGAGCAACTCTTAAAAAGAACAGAGAATTTCAGAAATGAATCAGAGTATGTTTAGCGACAATCGAGGAGTCGTTTGAACTTCAAAGGCATCTTACTTAAACAACAATATGGCAATATTCAAAATAAAACAGTTACATACCATGCATGACCAGCAAATACACATTTTTAGTTCGAGTTGATTTATAAGTATTAAATTAAGTTGGAATAAGATTTAAGAAAGGGAAAGTAGTCAAAGTAATAGGTTTACATACCTTGATGCACCTTGAAATCCTGAACATGAGGTTTATGTTGCAGTCTACTATATACTTTGTCCTTGGAGCTTAAGTTCAATGGTTGATAAACTAGTTAGTAAAATCCAACCCAAAAAATTTTATGCAAAAGAAATGACCAGAAATGATTATATGCTGTTCAGGAAGAATACATGGACCACTAGCTAAAGGTTAGGGACTAACCTGACAAAAATTCTTTCCAGGGGACTAACCATCCAATATGGCAATCCAAGGACCCCAAAGTTGGAGAATTGAAGATGAGAAACATCATCCATTTCTCCACCGAGTTTCAAAACCGTTTGACAGTCTTTGTGAATAGCATATCATGCAAGAAGAACAATGAGTAAAACTCTCAAGTAGGCATATGCACACAGAGAAAATGCTCTTCATAAGTAAATGATTGTCCTTTTATAATTACTGCATAAAGATTCATTCTTAAACCTAGTGATATGACAAAGACAGTGGATACAGAAAATGCGACAAAAATTCTCTGGCTTGGACTGGCTGGTCCCCTATTTCAGTGCAGTTTCTGTCCAATTTTTAGAAAAATCAAGAATTTCTGGTCTAGTCCAAATCGATCAAGCAGACAGATTTCAAAAAAGCTTTAATCAATACAATCATTGAGTTCAAATCAAAACATGCCTATTCAGACAGGTTCATACTGACTTCTTTTTCCATGGTGTACTCTGGTTCAAACTGTTTCACATCTGGCTTCTAATGGTTCTGAGGATGGAAAGCCAGAATCTGGCAGTTTTGATCAGGCAGTTTCGACTATCATGATGAGTAATATTTTTTAAAATCCCTTAACAATGTAAATTCATGGCTGAATTTCACATCTTTTGGCTTTAGTAGGAAGTACTTGGAAAGATTTTTTATTGCAGAAAAGTAAAGGAGGGAAGGAAGAAAATCTTGCGATATTTTCCCAATATCCTTTAAAAAAAGGGGATATTTGTCAAAATAGTTTGGCAAAGATGAACGAACTTTACTTATCTTCTTATTTTAATGGAAGTTGGTCATCAAATTATTTAATTATGTCAGCTACCTGCATTGCAAAAAAGTATGCGATTCTGTAACTTTGCAATTGAAGACATCAAAGTGGCAAATTGAAACTCCTGGAGAGAATTTGTTTTTGATGCCTCGTGCAGTCCTAGAGAATCATGGACCTTCCTCACCAAGGATACTCTATCCATAATCTTCTCCCCAAAGGCCTCCATAATAGTATCATATCCTATTCCCGTGTGGCAAAAGCAAAAGTAAGTGCCATGAACATAAAATAACTTCGATGAGATAAACAGCAAACGGCATATGAACCTTCATACGTTTCTTTGATCTTCCCAGTAGCTGATTCCATTATCCATAGATTTTGGAAACTGTGAAAATGAAAACAAAATTAGCAGACTTCTAAAGACAACTCTTACAATAACAACAAAATCAGACTGGGTATGCACGTGCTATTATTTCCTTCTGTCTAAGTTTTTGTCAATCATGCATCTCTTATACCATGTTTTTGTTACATTCTAGTCACACGTTCTACACATTACTAGTAAAGAGAACTGTTGACCTGGCTTTAATACAATGAAGCGCATGGAGCAGAAGTTTTATAATGAGCAATATAAACATAGCAAACAATGGTGATTAACCCTGATATTTTAGTTGTAATTTAGAAGAAAAATATTCTGGCCTGTTGAAGCAGCTTTTCAAACTCCCAATAAACTTTGCATGTACGTTTCAAGTGAGAAGGCTTAGAGTCTTTTGTGCCCAAATAAATATTCACATCATCATCATCACCTTTTCCCAATTAATTGGGCTGGCTACCAAAGAAATATTCACATGATGGATGTAAATGATTTTACAATAAAAACCGTGGTAGTACATAAATACCTGTGGTTAATTATCATGAGATCATTTGTCTCCATTTTTATCAAATGCCAAGGAAAAGTAAAATCCATGTCAAACTCCTCAGCCTCCACAACATCTTCCCTTATCAATCCTAGCTTGCTTTTCACCCAATTCCAAATGCTATTTCCACTCATTTTAGTATCAGGTATGGGGTAGATTGTCCGCACTGTCCTACTCTCCATATCAGCAAGCCTAACAGCATGGTTCTTGAATACCACAAACCGATTAAATAAACACATGCACATTATAGAAACAGTGATTGATATTTATTTGGTAATATTGCAAATACTGTAACAATATGAATACATAGAATTTTAGATTTTCTCAACAAATCCAATAATAACTGAAATGACACATGAAAAAGATTCACCAAATAATGTCATGATTGTAACAAAATATGAAGCATGTAGTTGGTAGTCTTTACATGTAATGCCCGTTCTTCTCTGAACAACGAGTTAAAAGAATGCCTCAACTATTTTAACCCAAGTTTAAAGGTGAATCTGGAAATATGCAAGACCAAGGATTTTCTTTTCTTCCTTTTTTTTGGTACTGAAAAAGAACACAAGAAATAGCTAAGCACCCTCCAAAAGCATATAACTACTCATAGATGACCCGCATATATAAATTCAATTCTAAGCAACATTATAACAAACCAAGCCATCAAATGGGTGTTTTACTTCTCTATGCATATAAGGCAATGAGAACAACAGTGTTGACTTTCATTAGTATCCTCTATGGGATAAAACTTGGATAAGACTCACCTAATCACCCTGGGTTCAGCGAGCAGACTCAGCTGGTAACAAAGCTCAGCCATTCTACTGGGATGGCAACTAAGGCTAATTCTGAGCTCAGCCCCAATTGTTCAGCACCATTCAGTAATGAGCAAGGGGGGATTTGTAGCCAGTCCTCAACAAGTGAAGAGTTCAGAAACTTTTGGGCAGTTACTGAACCAACATGGAAGTTTGAGTTCTTCCATCATTTCCAAAATGACATAGATTATGAATACTTTTTTTTTGCAAAATTGCAAGGGGCTTGAGTGGGTCCCCACCCATTGTATTAATAGTTGAAACAGAAGTACAAAGATAGTAATCACAAGGGAAAAGTTTATATAAAGCCGAGGCTCTAAACAATCAAATTTGAGCCTACGTCAAAAAGTTAACTAGAAGAAGTTGTTTTGATGCCCAAATATCTTCAAATTGATCATCTCGATATCAAGATGCATGGACATGAGAAAAAAATGGATTTCAAGTTTTGAAAATAGTGTATTTTATAATGCATTTTTAGACCCTCAATTTTCAAGATTTTCAAGTTTTCATAGATCTGTCCATCTACACTGTTTTTGAAGCTTTGAACTTTATAAATAATTATGAAAATATATTTTAAGGCTATCACAAAGATTTCCAGAAGTGAAACCACATTTCTCGACACTATTTGAAGGTAGGTTCTAATTTGAATGTTTAGAGCCTAGGCTTTATAGTAACCGCACCCCAATCACAATGGTCCCGTTACATACTCTCGCTTCCCTGACTATATGTCACTAAAGCGGGCTTGGGAGTTCTACTCCCATCATCCATAAATGGTTCTATCATTTCCATCTCTCGAAGGGATAAGCATATTTTCTCGAATGCTATTTTTGATCTTCTAAGTCACCTCCTTAAGAACCCTTTGGAAAGATTGCTCGCGATCTTCTTTTGCCTTCAGTTTCTTTCTTGCCAAATTACCCATATAATTGTGGGGAGTGAGGCTTTCCAAATCTTTTCTAGTTCTGTTAGCGAAATTTCTTTTGAACCAGTTTATTAGGAAATGAGGCATGCTTGAATCGGTTATAGCATTAGTATAGAACCTCCACAAGATTGCTTTGTTCGTCACTCGCAAATTTGCAAGAAATGAATAGGTGATTGTGGCTCTCATTATTAGCTTATACAAATCGCATATACTACCCAATTGGAGTCCCCATTTTTGCGCTTTATTGGTTGTGACTAGCCTCTTTTGGTAGGCTAACAAAGAGAACCACGAGGACCAAGGGTGTCAGCTTTCTCCATGGCCACTAGTATATTGCTTTTGGGCATTAGTCTCTTATCATTTCGTGAGCACCATGGGAGGTGATATCATCATTACTATTAGCAACCCAAGTGTGTCCACTATCAACTCCATCATCCTCAAAATCCCAACCGCTATGTCTCATGTGGGACAGTCTCATGTATGACTTTTCAAGCCCAAGAGTCCCTTGTTGTTACTATAGGAGTCCCTATATGATGCCTCAAAGATTTTTTTTTTCCTTATCAAATCAGAACATTTGAAGTTCTTCCCACTAGCCAATTCCCATAAAAATTTTAGCTAGCAAGGACATGTTGATCTCCTACATTTGATACCAAGCCTGCCTTCGCTCTTAAGTTTATAAATGATGTTCCATTTTACAATAGATTTTGTTTTTCACGTAAATTTTACAACTAGTTTATGACGATTACCAATTCTGTTGTGTAACAGTTCCTTGGGAGAATTTTATTACTAACCCTACATTACAGCATCTGTTTTTCCATTCCAATCTCCTAATAAAAAATAATAATAATAATTTTCATTATAGATTACAAATCATGGGATATAAAAATTTGTTGGGCGTGCAGAAAGGACCTTTTTGCCAACCGACCTCATAATCTACAAAGTACAAGCAATCCTCATCAGCATTGTATATTGATGAAGCTGGACGAAACATCTTGGCAGTTTCAAATGCACCATCCTCAAAACCCGGAGAGCAACCAATCTATCAAATAAAATTCACATTTCAGTTGAGAAAATATTAAATAACCAAAAGAAAAGAATCAAAGGAAATATTTTTTAACTCTCCACAAGGATATTTTTTATTTCCTAGTGACACTTTTATTGATTCTCTTGTTTTCTGCTGCAACTCAAGAGAATGTTGGTCTTTTGTTGGTAAAAATTTCATGCAGATAGGAGACTTAATCACATACTTTCAAGTTAATACCAATCCATTTTACAATTTTCTATCATTCCATGAATCATGAGATAGCAGAAGCCACTCAAAGCCAAGGGTTTAATTTTTCCGCCTCACACTGTCACCCATTAGATCTTATGCATCTAGGCCTTAATGAGAACTTCAGTGTTCCCTCCAAATCATGTGCTAACTCAAAAGCATTGGCCGCATTAGTCAGAGCAAAAGAACTATTTCACTTTTTGGGTGGTCATCACAAGGACCTTATTAAATCATTTCTAATAAAACCAAAAGATATTGGAAGAATATGCTGAACTTCTCCCCAAAGAAGAATATAAAACAAAATATTTTCTACTTTCTTTCTTGATAATTAACCAATTGAGCGAAAAAAAAAAAAAAATTAAAGTCTCACGCAATCTAAAATCATTCCATGTTCATCAGGACTGATGATCCGATGATGATTAGTGTCAGAGATAAATATGTGTTTGCCATCTCTTCTCTTGATAATTAACCAATTGAAGGAAAGAAAATTTTTTGACTCTTACACAATCTAAAAGCACTCCATGTTCATCAGCGATGATGATCCGATGATGATTTGTGTCAGAGATAAATATGCGTTTGCCATCTTCATCCACAGAGATAGAACCTAAAATCACCATATTCAATTCGTCATAAAGACATAGATATGCAGAACTTGATAGCATTAACAAATGTATGTCAGGGAATTATCAAATCAGATAAACGTGACAAATAAAAACAAATTCAAAAGAACTCAACCACATTTTTTCCAAATGTGACAATAGGGTAATTAAGCATTTGGATTTTTCCAAAACCCAAAACACAAAGAGAGCAAACTCTGAATGAGATATATTTCAGCTAGATTACCAACAAGATGAGAAACTCCCAAAGGCCCTAATGAGGATAATCTAAACTGTACGCAAAACTGGTGAAACAAAAGTCTAATTTTTAAGATTATGAATAGCGCTAAACTATACTATAAGAAATTGCATCAGAAAATCCATGAGGAAAATCACAACTGATGAAGGGGTATAAGAAATTGGCTAATACAAGAAATTGGCTAAAATCAAAATTTGAAATCAAATATTTAAAAATTTCACCCAAAAATCTTACTAGTCAACATGCCATCATCTGCTCTAACATCAAGAGGGGCATCATTACTTGTTTGACCAAATGTAACAATTATTAGCGAAGTGATAGCAAATGCAAAGAGTAACAATATGTAACAATATAATCAGGCACTCTTCCCCGTGTAATAGGAACGACACGTTCGTCCAAATAAAAGGGTAAACATCTTACCTGCAGAGTTGAGAAGTAAGTTTTTAAGAGGATGACAAACATATGGTTCCTTGATGAACTCAGCAAGCTTTCCTCCTATACCTTTGGAGTTTACGTCTGTGGATTCCCCAATAGATGATGTCTGAAGTTCATCAATCACTGCACCAATAAAGTAAACAATCAATCAAAACAATGTACGACACTAAAACCCAACTTAATGCTACCTAAGACATTTCTTATAGGTCATATTCATTTCAATATTGACTATTAACCTGAACTCCTTAAATTTTATTCAGGTAAGTTTGCTAAGTGAATGCAGATATGACTGCCTTATATATCTTGCAAGACATCACCATTCCTTCTTTATATATGCACTAGTTGTATTCTAGAATCCATGGATCATCCATGTTAATTTCAACTGACTAAGCATTTCGAACAGAAATGACTCTGTATTATTTCTGAATCGCAGCAATAAATTTTTAAATAAAACGAACCCTCTTGCCTTGACATGCATCCATATTGCTCGAAGATTCATATGCAACTACTGGAACCATGATATCCAACAACCAAATAACACACAAGCATAAAAGAAAACTCAGTAGGGCAGCATGTATCCACTTACACACTCATAAGCACTTGAATCCACATGTTCACAATCAAACATGCATTATCAATCCCATTATTGAAAATATGGAGACAAACAGCACACAAGGGGATATAGGTTCAAGCAACCATGTAAATACCAACAAATATGAGACTCTGCTAAATATTTAAGTTAAAAATATCATATGCTTCTCATGCTGATCAAATATGCAAAATACGCAACTTAAATACCACACCCTTAGATTCCTTTAAAACAAGGTCCACATAGAGCATTACAAATCTATCATGCATCAATTTAAATTGTAGTTTTAGTAGATAGCCTACCTCTCATCATCGCCAAACTGCTAAGGGCTTGTTTCTTTGGTAAATATTATTAATAATTTGATGGCATTCCATGAAACAAAAAAACAGGTTATTACAAAAAGAAACTGGTTAAATGCACTCATGATTTGAACTTCATTTATAGATTTATTGCTATAATCATGACAATAAAGTCCTGAGCCACAATAAGAGCAATACACATCCTGCCCGGTACAGAATACAAATTACATTTAAACTCTTTGGTTAATGTATCATTTGGAGTCAAAGGGTGAAAAAAGAGCTCTACTAGAGAACTAATTTGGGAGAGAAAAGAAAGATGGGGGAGAAAGGATTGCATATCAGCACATAAATCAATTCTGCAATGCCTTGCAAAACAAGCTTTGCCTTTAACATCAATGATGTTATATGAATCATATTTCTAAGCTACAGCCATCCTGACAATGACAAAAAGCCTAAAAGATTCTGGTCGACATATATCAAGTCGACCATTCTAAAAACAATATTTGCAATCTGTGAGAAACTGAGATCCAACTACATATCCAAGTATACTGTCAAGGTTACTCCCACTAGTTACAGAAATGCCTGAGGAAAAAATGGAACAGTGGATATCATTTAAAATGTCACCTTTTGTGATTGTTCCAATTTCCACATCCTTTAGATAGAAAATCTGGCCTCTAAAACCTTTGAATATCAAGCACAATGGCGTGTTTTCCCTCTGAAATGAACCACAACCAATCATTGTATTGCAAATCACTCCTATTTATTAAAAAATAAACTCCACCGCTTCCTTTAAAGTTTTTTGAAAACATTCCAACACCATGAGAATCACAATCAAAGAAAGCAAAAATATTCTCCACTACATCACTCTGATGAACAATGCTCATGGAAAACAAATAAAATGAACTTATTTACAGATCTTATTAGGCATGCAGTATGCAATTGATTGTCACCAAGGGAGACATTCACATGCAACATACTGATTTTTATATAAGACAGACAACAAGCCCAAGGACTTTAGCCAATGTGCATTCAGCTGATCCTCAAGATAGTAATAAAGGGCTTGAAAAGGCAGAATAAATGTTATTTTGAAAGACAATTGTCATTGACACTCTATAAACATATTGTACAATATCTTACCAAAAACTTCTTCCTTTTTGTTTTAATTTTATAATCACCTTAATAAAATCTTTAGTTGACAGCAACACAGGAAATGTGATATATTCCTTCAAGAGAATGCTACTTATCCGAGCTTTATCGTCGATAGAACAAATTGAACTTCCAAATTCAAACCCAAATACTTGAAGCTCAGGGAATCTGCAAGAAGAAATACTTAAATTCAGTTGGAGTCTTATATAAAGTATACTGATGAGGCAGAAACACCATTAAACTTATAAAAACAATGGCAAAATATCCATGTCAAAGGCATGCAGTTGAAAACTACTACCTCTGTTGAAGCAATTTTACTCTTTCTATGATGCTAATATTTTCACAGCGCAGTACAAAAGAACTCTCCTGGAAGGTACCCATAACAACCAAGAAAATCCCATCTTTACTGAAGAACTCCTCGCACTCCTCCATTCTGTTCATCCAACAATGATAAGGGCCTGTAATTCCATTTCGGGAAAAGCCTATTAAAAGATTTTCACCATAAGATGAAAGAAACCAGTCAAAGTGATCAACTATGAATCAATAGCTGTTGAAAACGCGCATCCTTCATTCCAGTTTGTTCTTTAAGCCTCTAAAGGTGCATTTAATTGCATCCCTTATTGTTTATCAAATTTCTTACGACAGGCATGCTAGACTATTATTCTATTTAAAATCGCTAGTGTTCCCATACATTTTAAGGCAGTCCATGGCAGTTCTTAGCAAGTCTAACTCACAATGTCACTTTAATCTACTAAAAGAACTACTAACTATGGTAAACATTCGTAAATTTGTACTCAAAACTCCTCATGTAACTGTTCTGTAACCACCAATAATGTGATTATTTCTAGACCAAATCCATAGATTTTGCTTAGAACTTGAATAGTGCATCTATGGACACAAAAGTACTTTAAGGAGTCTATTCTGAACTATCATAGTTTGAATTTGCCGTTATAAGGCCATTTTCTGAATATTTTTCTCGGAAAATTATGTCAGTTGAACTTTAGGGTAAAACTAAATCTTAGTCTCTTGTCAAATTGCTTTACAATTTTAATTTTAACTCAAGGAGATTGTAAGTTGTGCCAGCACCATACATCTAAGTCTCCTAGATCTTGTCACCACGCTTTAACACTTCTTATGAGAAAATCTTCATTCGTCTGAAGAATATTTGGTAACGACTTAACCCTTGTACCCATTTTGGATACCAATGCGCATTTTGGATACCAATGTTTGTGCTAGAAGTAATAAAACCTTAGAAAGCAAAGCAGTTCCCAACATGGCTGCAATTCAATTTTAATATATATGATGTATGTCTCATTTCCAGTTATAAATTAGGAAACTAGGCTAAAGAGTACATCTAGTAATATGGAATATGGTGATCTAGACGACAGGAAAACCTACTAAAATAGTCAAAAAGCACTCCACCATTAGAATATAAAAACAGAGCACCAAGCATTCAACTATTTATTTTTCAACCTTTGAAGATTACTAACGCTATCAAATTCTTGGGATACTTCTTTACTGTGGTCAGGAGGTCCGAAAATGATCTGAAACAACTAAATAAAACAGTCACTTAAATACATGGCACTTTCAACCATAAATAAATAAAATACGAAAATGAACTTCTTAGGAGAGATAAAAGGCGGTAGAGTCATGTGACAAACATTACCAAGAAAAACCCTTAAGATGGGAGTTTACCTTCTCCTTCATTAAGAGAAGACTCAAAGAGTGGCAGAAGATCTTCTTCTGGAGGAAAGTCACTTGACAGCCCAGATTCGGTTGAGAACCTAAAAGTTATGGTTCAGTAACCAGACAGGACATTCATCAAACTCAGGATTGTGATTATAACCAATCGAGAGAATAAAAATCATAGCAGTAGTACGAATCAACAATCATGTACAAGTTTCAAAAATTATAATTATACATATTTGAAAAATAAAATGATACCTTCATATTTCTTACAAATGGATAACATTATCCATTAGCCCTAAAATTTTGTCTCCCTTCACCCACCCTTCCTTCAACAAGCCCCCCCCCCCCCCCCTCTGACTCAAGTGGAGAGAACAGCTTTTTATTGTGGGCCGATGAAAAAACTTGATATCATATGGCATCATAAAGTCAACTGTTTATTTGATGTGACATGTGACTAAATTTAAGATTTGAATGGTGGGAAAAGAAATGAGCAGAGCATCTCATCAATTACACAACGTTATACAAGCTCATTGTCTATGTAGGTGAGCAAACCAACTACCATTATCTTAATAATAAAAGATAGAAGCAACCCAACAACCAAGAAGATGCAATGTAGAAAGCAATATTGTAAACAATATTAATGCCATTTCTAAATCTTAGAAAATTGATTTTAAATAAATCAAATTCGAAAATCAAAATCAGTATTTACGGACTCGGCCAAATCGACTTAGACTGGGCTGAATAATTTGGAGTCGGTATCATGCCGAGCCAAGTAGTATGTATGAAGTTAGTAAATTTAAAAAAAATAAAAATAATTCATAAAATATATAATTCTCTAGTAAATCAATGTACACACATTTTCCTCTATAATTTTGAAAATTGAGATGATGATTTATGAACTTCTTTAATCATTTGCTTCATTTTTATATTTTTCCCTTTTTCGAAATTTTCTGAATCATTTCCTGCTTTGAAATTTTTTCCATCTTTTACATTTTTTCATCATTTTTATACTTAAGTGTCCCTTATGATTTAGTTTTGTTTTTACTATTTTTTTGTTTTATCAAAAGTCTTTTTGTTTTTTTCTTTAAAAAAAAGAAAAAGTTATAGCCCTTTAAGGAATACTTTGCTTGGGCCAGGGCCAAGTCTGAGGCCGGATCCGAGTTTCAAAACATTGTCAAACTATATGCATACCTGCAAATGGGTGCACCTCTCTTCATGCCAACCTTTTTTTAATTGATCAAAATAAGAGAAGGATTCACAAATGTAGTGCAAGGCTCCCCCTTGGTCATTTCATGTGATACCACTGAACCAAACCAAAGAATGTGATTTAGACAATTCAGGAAGTATAAAAACTTAGATGAGATCACCACTTCAAAAATCATGCCCAAATCAAGATAAAAATCCAATTCCCACAACAATTTGTATTACAAAAAGGAAACAACTAAGATCATTTTAGCTGGAAAATTAGGACTTCGCATTGCATGATATATCATTAGATAATCTCATTGACTTAAATAACTATCACTTACAGAGAATATCCAAATGAACGATTCACCAAAATTAAGATGAAGAAATGATTCAGAAAACTAGGATGCTAATTAAAAAGACGAAACAATTTTTTGTAAACACCCAATAAATCTCACTGAAATTACCCAACAAGTAAAGGTTTCATAGAGAATATCCAAACAAAAATAACATTAGGAAATGAATAAGGCATTAACAGTGAAAATTGCAAAGAAGTATAAAATATAACTAGGAATGAAAATATGAAATTACCCGAACAGTATATTCGAGAAGAAACCCTAAAAATCTCTCTGAAATGTCTGGTTCTAAGAGCCATTGATCGAGTAAGTAGGCTTCAGCTGTGGCTTTCGTTTAAATTTCAGAGAGCTCTATAATGGCCTCAATATATATTACAACGACGATTTTTAAACCTTCAACATAAGTCTTAATACCCTAAGTCTCGTATATTGAACTAGGGTTTAGGGTTTAAGCAAAGAGAAGAATTTTGAACACTTCTTAAGCCCAGTTTGGATGTGCAAAATATTCCCCAACAACCCCATTCTCTCCCGAGAAAGCTTTCTATGATAGAAGTTCTATCCTCCCCCACCTTTTAACCATTTATTTAAATGGAGGGCTGAGATTCCTTCACTCAAGCTGTCATAAAATGGGGCACGAGCTAAAATGGAGGGCTGAGATTCATTCACTCAAGCTGTCACAAAATGGGGGGCACGGGGTAACCATTTGAAATAAGCCCGTAGTAGAGAGAGATTGGTCCTTTATGTTCAAAGCTTCCCGTTCAAATCGGCCATTAATGAAGCTCCGAGTTGTTCTTACAAAACTCAACGCAGTTGTCCACAAAAGAGTAAGATTGGTCCCCTCTAGTCAGAGACTAATGAGACAGGTTTCTATACTTCCCCTACAGCATAGAAGATCTATACTTTCCCTACTATCCAACCATCCAATTTTGATCAAGAGAGCTACTCATCGTTTGATCTTAGATCCGACGTCTTTATTTTTAGATTTTTTATACAAATTGTTTGAATATGAAATTTGGTACATGCCATCTTCTCATTGGGGCGCACTTATAAAAAATATTAAAAATAATTTTTTCATAAAATAAAATGACAAAAATACCCCTAAAAGTTTCAAGGGTT